ATAGGGGAGGGAGCCATCTGAGTCCACTGGAGCTTGCTCTGCGGGTTCATTTTTAAATTTTGGATACATTCTGAACATGGACTACTGGCCACAAAACCATAAATTTCCTTTTATTACCACCTCTAAATAACTGGAATAGGGTTGAAAGAGTCTCAGCTCTGTCAACTATAGAAAAGTCAGTGTTTCTGGTCTTGGTTTCTTTATTTGAAAGAAAATGGAATAACTGTAGATGAGTAATTTTTAATCAATGGAGGTAGGGGATATAAATTCCCTTAAGAAGTGGGGCACACTTTTCATTATCCCCAATCCAAAACTCCACTGCTACTGGTATGAGAGTGTGGTATTCTTCAGGTCCAGCTGATCCAACATGTTCCTTTAAGTTGAGGCTCTGATTTTTTTTCTTTTTTTTGAGACACGGCCTTGCTCTGTTGCCCAGGCTGGAGTGCAGTGGTGTGGTCTTGGCTCACTGCAACCTCCACCTCCTAGGTTCAAGAAATTCTCCTGCCTCAGGAGACTGTAATTCCACCACACCTGGCTAATTTTTTTTAATATTTTTAGTAGAGACGGGGTTTCATCATGTTGGCCAGGCTGGTCTCAAACTCTGCCTTCCAAAGTGCTGGGATTACAGGCGGAAGCCACCACACCTGGCCAGCTCTGATTTACATTAACCCTTAAAATCTTATTGATGCAAGGTTCTGTGAATTTTAAAAATATGAAAAATTATTGGCCTAGTATTTGATTTCTAGAGGGGTGTTTAGAAATTCTACTAGAAAGGTAAAATTTTCCTCCTATGGTTTTTCATAGCTGATAAGGAAAAACAGTTGTATTCACCTAGTTCACTGCTGGGCTAGCATCATTTGTTACTACTTTCTGTTCCCAAATGGCTTTTTAATGGAAATAAGTACTTATATAATAACACAGGTTGAGTGAAAAATTAATCAACACATATCCCATACAGCATAGGGCTGTGGTCTTCATACTCCAAGAGTTGACTGAGCAAGGAAAGGCAGAACATGTGCAGAACCACTGCGCTCATGTCAAATTATGGCATACATTATAAATGTACACTGGCATGTTCCCGAAACACATCAATGTCTGTTGCATACACTTAAAAAATAACTGTGATATAAAACGATATAGGTCTTTTTCCACTAATAAATATGTGACATAAACATTATCCTACATTATTACAAAGTTGCTGTAAATACTTTTTAAATGGTCACCAGATATTTCATCAAGTAGATGACATATTGTTTATTTTATTTTCCAGGTTTCAACAGTTTTATTGGGAGGTTTTGTTTTCTGTAAAATAGACTAGAGGTTGAGGAAGGGGACACATTTCTGTTATAAGATAAGGTGTTTCCCATCACTAAAGAAAAGGTATGAGGCGTGACACATTGGAGTTTGGATCCACCTCCTTCTGCTTTGCTCACATTTCTTTTTTTCCTCTTTCTTTTATTTGCATATTTTTGAGACGAAGTCTTGCTGTCACCCAGGCTGGAATGAAGTGGTGCGATCTCGGCTCAGGGCACCCTCTGCCTCCCAGGCTCAAGTGATCCTCCCACCTCATCCTCCAAGGATGGGACCACAGATGGGTGCCATCATGCCAGGCTAATTTTTTTTTTTTTTTTTGGTAGAGAGGGTGTTTCACCATGTTACCCAGGCTGGCCTCGAAATCCTGAGCTCAAGTGATCTGCCCACTTGGGCCCCCCAAAGTGCTGGGATTACAGGTATAAGCCACTGTGCCTTGCCTCTTTTCTTTTTCAACAAGTACCACAGAACACAAACACAAAGGCAAGAAATAAAAATAGCAAGATCAACCTCCAACGGGGCCACATCCAAGCCTTGTCTTACTCCCCAAGCGGGGCCAGGCCTGGGAGGGGCTGAGGTAGCTACTCCACAGTCCCCAGGCTGTACAAGAAGGCAGCAGGCTCAGAAGTTGGGGGCTAAATTAATAAATGAGAACAAATTAGGGGGGAGGAATGCAACTTTGTGCTGGGAGGGCCCCTTCTCTCTAACATGCAGGAGAGTCAGTTCTTGGGGGAAGGTAGGAGGCACTGCCAAAGGCTACTACAGTGGGGGTAAGAGCAATGGGGGCAGCAGTCAGCTTTTCTTCCATGTTCTTCAGAAACAAAGCAGAAGAATTAGAGCTAAGGGGATGTCTACAGCCATACCACCCTGAACGCGCTAGATCTCGTCTGATCTATGGTTATTTAAACATGTTGGTTTCCATATACAGATTGAGTATTCCTTATCTGAAACGCTTGGGACCAGAAGTGTTCTGCATTTTGGATTTTTTCAGATTTTGGATTATTTGCTATACATGCATAATGAGATTATCTTGAAAATGGGACCCAATTCTAAACAAAATTCATTTATGTTTCAAATACACCTTCTACACACACCTTGAAAGTAATTTCACACAATATTTTAAATAATTTTGTGCATGAAACAAGATATACTGAATCATCAGAAAGCAAAGGTGTCACTACCTCAACCAACTAGATGGACAATCAACCTGTAGTTGTTTGGTCCCCCATCATTACTGACTCTTGAATTCATATGCAACCATTTTCTTACACTTACTCACACTTAAGTATTAACACTTCAAGAACAGGACATATCACTGGTAGAGTGAAAAAATAATGTGTTCAGTGTAACTTAGTAATACCCATATCAGTGTTAAACAACAATAAACAATGGCAGGCTGAATAAACTGTGTGGTGTGCCTCTGTTTTGCTGCAACCCATTTCATGAGGTCAGGTGTGGAATTTTCCACTTGTGGTATCACAAGTCCTCATCAAGTTTTGAAATTTGAAGTGTCTCAAATTTTAGAGGATGTTGAATTTCAGATTTTCAGATTAGAGACGCTCAATCTGTAAAAAGGATTTTTACTTGAAAAATCCTTTAAGCCGATTCTTGAACATTTCAAATAAGAAATCTAACTAGATTATATTTCTAATAGTACCTTAGCAGTTTTTCTTTCCAAAGCAGAATTCAGGGATCCTTTTAGTCTTTTCTCTCATAAGTTAAATGAAGACAGGTGATGAGCATGGTCTCGTAAGTTCCGGTGATGCCTATTGAGAACGCCTTAACTAAAAAGTGTCCCTGACTTCTGGTCTACATCAAATCTGTATGAAGAAGAAAAGACTGATTCCAGGCTGGAGGTTCCCTGATTCCTTTTCTCTTTTGTAGGACCCAGACTCCTGTGTGTCCTTGCTGTAGGTATTATATTTGATGTGTAGTGCTTTTTTACATTCCTTTGCTTTTGACTGCTCATGTTTCTGACCTTAGCTTAGCAAAATGAAATCTCACTTTCTATTTTTTGCTCCTGCTGTACTGAGATCTCCAAATCCGTATTTTAGTTCTTAGCAAAGAACAGCAGAAGGTACAACAGCTTTGAAGTCAAACCTGGAGAAGAATCCTGGTTCCCTCAGCAGCTAGGTGATCTCAGGCAAATCACTTAATCTCTGTCTGTGCTTCAGATTCCTCAGGGGTAAAGTATGGCTAATAATATCTACCATAAAGGTATATTGTGACTTTTAGATTGGAAAATGTACTGAGAGTGCCTAACAAAGTGCCTTGAACACAGCAGTCCTTCAATAAGTGATGGTTACTGCTGTCACCATCATTACTGCTCATGTTTCCTTACCCTACTTTGGAACTGACATTCTTGGTCCTTGATTATACCCCAAGATAACTGGTGTTGGGAGGTTCAGAACAAAAAGAACAAGTTCCTCCCTGACAAAAGACTCTCTAAGTTTGGGAACACCTCACTGGAGAAGGAAGATAATTACTAATCACAAAGGTTAAGAGGGAAAACCCAGGAAGAATCAACTGGGTGTTTAAGGTAGGTATATTTACTTGAAGACAAAGCAAAATAAGTCTCAGAAATATTCTAGTTCACCTAAGCTTATAAATACATAGATATCTTTTTTTTTTTTTTTTAATTTTAAAACCAGATCTGAGGAAATACATAGAAATCTTATTGGGATTTTTTTGCTTCCTTATGGGTGAAAGAAAAAATACTGGGATTTTAAAAAATGAAATAAAACACAGCTTTTCAGTGGCAATCTAGTTTCCATAGGGAGGTATTTTTCAAGATAGTGTGAAATTCATTTTCTGTCTTAAGCTGTACCTGCTGGATCACTAATATTTGTATTGCTAAGTCTCTGGACTTAAAGTGCTTTCAGTGTGAATTTTCCTCCTACTGTGCCCATCTGTTCTTTTCTTGTGGACCCAGAGGAAAGCAAGACTTAATAAATATTCAGTTTTCAGACTTCTTTAGAATATTTTCATATAAGTACATATAACCTCTGAGGAAAATTATAAAACTGTTTGGTGAAACTTAGCTCACACCTGATTTCCCCTTATCACTACCCAAGTGGTCATTATTTTTATGGAAGACTAAAAAGTAACTATACATATAAGAAGTGAAGTCAAGGAATATAAATAATAACTTTAACCCTAAGATATCTTTACTTATATATTATTAGATAAATAATTTATGAATTAGCCAATGTTAAGGTAGAGGAAGATATCAAGGCCACTGCCTACTCCTTGCTTCTCCTAATCAAGGTCAGCAGTGACCTCTGGGTACATATCACCCAATGATGCTCTTCCTCCACCCAACCAGGTTGGGGACATGGTGATCTCACTTTTCATGACTTACTTTCCCTGCAATGATATCAAGTTGGCTGGATTCAAATGATGCATATCTAAGCTCTCATAGGGTAGTGTCAATATTTGACTAAACAATCATGGATTTTCCTTTAAAAACCACAAGTTGAAATGCAATGTTAAACCAGCAAAGAAATGGACGGTTGCTATACTAAAAACATCATAAGCTACAAGGATAAATTCAAGATATATGCAAATATTCTTAGACACAACATGGCTATTTATGAAACTTTTTGGCAGGCAGAGTTCTAGAGGAAGGTGCTACTTACTAGCAGGCTTATAGCAGACAAAAACAGAAAAACAAGAAAAAACAAAACTACCTCAGCAGTTGCAAGACTGATGCATACTCCTCTGAATCCCATATGTTCTTTTCTAAACATGTGCAGTACAACTCTCTGATCTGTAAGTGAAAAACACATTAGTGAGAAACCAAAAGTGTATATACACTACTAGCTTGGTAAAATCATTTCTGGTCAACACAAAAAACTAATGTTATTAAAAGTCATTTTCTTTAGATTATAATAGACTTGGTATATATCTCATGGATCAGGCTTTATAAGAATGTAATTTACTTAAAAGTAAAATGAGACTATGTTGAGATTGGCTGATATCACTGGTCATTTTAAAATAAGAAAGTGCAGAGTGCTCAATGCAACCTCTGCCTCCCAGGTTCAAGCTATCTGCCTGCCTTGGCCTCCCCTGTAGCTGGGACTACAGGCATGTGCCACCACACCTGGCTAATTTTTGTATTTTTAGTAGAGACAGGGTTTCATTATGTTGGCCAGGCTGGTCTTGAACTCCTGACCTCAGGTGATCCACTCGCCTTGATATCCCAAAGTGCTGAGATTACAGGTATGAGTCACTGCACCTGGCCAACAAGTCATTCTTACAGACTGGCATTTGTTCTCTAAAACTTTGAGCTAAGATTTAGAGATACAGAATTCCTCTGCTAAAATCTACTCTACAGATGGTTGATAGCTTTATGTTATGACATAAAGGTCAGCTGAGCATAATTTTTCAAGGAGGAGAAGTACTGCTTCTCTTTTTATTCTGGGTGTAGTGCATGGTTAACCATCAAGCATTCTCAAACGGATTCCTTCTTCCATGAAGGGAAGAGAACTAGCTCTCTCAGTATAGGTGACAAGGAAGCGTAACAGAAGGAAAGTTCAAATGCCTTAGTACAAACACATTGTAGGGGAAGCAACACCACTGGGATTCATATGGCTGTTTCTAGCTGTGGCCATCAGAACAAAAAACAATTTCAATTACCAGTAATGTGTATAGCTGGAATGGATTTAGATTGTGCTCTCATTGTAAGGATTCACTTCATTTCAAATTCTGATGCCTGAATGCTACAAAATCCAAAGCAAGAAAGTACTAACATTCCTACTTCATAGATTCCAAATGAGGAGGCTTGGATTACCTGTCGACCCAGTGGATACTTGGGAAGAGAAGAGGTAAACTTATGAAGACATCTCAAAACCAGGAAGTAATTCATATGATAAACATGCAGGTTTTCTAGTAATAATTGTGTTTCCTCCTAAAAACCACAGGATACATTATTAATACATAAGTCAGCTAATAAAAGAGCATAATAATAAACTCTACTTCATGGCTATATAAAATTTCTGGAAAACTGACAAGACGATTCATAACTACAAATTAGCCTTTTTAATGAAAATTTGAAATACACATAAAATCCAGAATATAGGCTGAGCATTTTGGATTTAGTATCAAGTCTGGTGATACTTTACACATGCCAAAATTGATACTGTATTTTAATCTCCTGATATCTCTAGCATTCCCACAATACCTTGGCCCCCAAAATTACAAGTGAGCAAGAAAGCACCTTATTGGATACTTGGCTGTGCCCATCACCCGGTATGTGCCACAGCAAAGGAAGGTGCTTTATCCTCCACCTTGCTAGCATCAGAAGAGTAAGATCACCAGACACAATGGTATCAACCTAATGAACCTGCTAAAGTTCTGTTTATGATGTATACTTTTCCTAAAGTACTGCTCGAGTGTGTTAGTGTGTTTGAAGGGGAAAATGAAAAGACTATGGCAGAAACACAAGTGATTCTGATGAGTCCCTGCCTCTTACTGAGATTTCCAATTCCAGTTGTATTCACTTTACCAATTAAGAACAAAAAAAGAAAAAACTCTGAAGCCAACAAGCTTTATAATTTAGAATCTAGCAAGTATGATGACATGAGGGATAGTGTCTTAAGAAACATATGCAGGTGCACTGGCTCATGCCTGTAATCCGAGCACTTTGGAAGGCTGAGGCAGGAGGATAGCTTGAGCTTAGGAGTTCAAGACCTGGGTGAGCAACATAGTGAGGCCCCATTCATACAAAAATAAAAACCCACAACCGAAAACTAGCCCTATTCTCCATATAAGAGGTTTACACACAGAAAAAAAAGAATAAAAACCTATGGATGACTAATCTCACAAATCAGTTTCAAAAGGTTTTGTTGAGGGGAGAGAGATATTATGTTTTCTAGAGCCTCCTGAAATAGTTTAGAAATGATTTTAAAACACTATATCTATATCAAGTAGTTTCAGGCCTCCATTCCTTTTATAACTGCTTACTTCTGTAACATTTTCTTAAGAGGATTATGATCTGTGGGATGGTCTTCAATATTTTTCTCCTTTTAGAAGTCAAATAAAGACCTTTGCTGGGTTGTGTCTTTTTTTCAGTAATATCTTGAAGATATCCATTATTTTTAGTGGTCAACCACATAGAAAATAACTCAGATATCAATAAATTCAAGCAAATCTACCCTCTATAAAGCAATAAATATGACATGTCTTCCTAAATGCCAACTCACTTAGGAAATGAATTCCTTAGTCAACAATCTATGGGTTATTACCTGAAATCACAGGGCAGATTAAAGAAAAGCTTTTAGCACCCAAATGTTTTTCCCTTCCATTATTTGAGCTGATTGGCAATTTCAAAAATCTATGTCTCCTATCATAACAAAAGTAGCCATAATCAAAAATTGTTTTAACCACCATTGGGAGGGTATACTTTAGTTCTATTTTTACTGTGAGCCATAACACAGATGGCATAAAGCCATTAATTGCCTTGATGTATGCTTAAATAGCTTTTAAATAGGGAGAATATTTTGAAGAAAATGAACTCTATTACTGAATAATAATCATACTGCATGCTACTTACGCTACCTATTTTCTTTTGCTTTGTGGAATAGCTATGTGTACAAGTACCTGGGTGATGTGGTAGAACTGAGTAACTTCATTCCATTTACTTGGATAAGGAAAGAAAAGAAATACTTTACACACTATAGAGCACTGCATACTCAAAGAACATACCTGCCCTGGAACAAGTGTGAGGTGAGGGATATGAACAACATATTTTTCTCCCAGGTGGTCTTAGTTCTTTGATACTTTTCGCTGTGTGGTACATCCCTGTGCTGAGTAGAGTTCTAGTGTTTAAAAAAATGTTTTATTTTAAAGTAATCATTATTTTATTTTATTTAAGATGGAGTCTTGCTCTCGGCTCACTGCAACCTCCGCCTTCCAGGTTGAAGTGATTCTCCTGCCTCAGCCTCCCAAGTAACTGGGATTACAGATGCCTGCCACTACATCCAGCTAATTTTGTGTATGTTTAGTAGAGATGGGGTTTCACCATGTTGGCCAGGCTGGTCTTGAACTCCTGACCTCAAGTGATCCGCCCACCCTGACCTCCCAAAGGGCTGAGATTACAGGTGTGAGCCACTGTGCCTGGCCTAAAAAATGTTTTGTATTGTATTGTTTGGTTTTGTTCCATACAATGTGGCAGAGTATGTCATCTGGTGCTGAACTGAGGAAATGGTGGTTGGTTCCAACAATGGGGAAAAGACTGGCTATGATGGACTTAATGAATGAGAGAAGGTTTGCTGTACCTTTCTAAGGGATTTTTTTCAGAAGTAATTTTGACTATCCCAGATCTTTGCCTTATGTGCTGACTTTAGAAACTAATCTCCATGTAAGAAAGATTTCACTGTTTTTATATGTGTTTCTATCAATCACAACAAACACATCACAAATGATTAACATTTTCTTATAACCTGTCCTTAGGTTCTCCATCTTACTTAGATGCCTGCACATATGTGTCTGCCTTTACTTATTCAAAACAATAATTCTTTTTTTTGGAGACTGAGTCTTGCTCTGTTGCTCAGGCTGGAGTGCAATGGTGCGATCTCAGCTTACTGCAACCTCCGCCTCCCAGGTTCAAGAGGCTCTCCTGCCTCAGTCTCCTGAGTAGCTGGGAATACAGGCGCCCGCCAGAACACCCGGATAATTTTTGGTTTTTTAGTTGAGATGGGATTTCACCATGTTGGCCAGGCTGGTCTCGAACTCCTGACCTCAAGTGATCTGCCCACCTTGGCCTCCCAAAGTGCTGGGATTGCAGATATGAGCCACTGCACCTGGCCTTAAACCAGTAATTCTTACTTTATGGACACTATTTTACAAACTCAAACCTGTAAAAGGTTTTGATGTATGAGAAAATTTTCCATTTAATATATTACAGCAGCATCATACCACATACATGTGAAAATAAAGCCTGTTGAAATATTAACCCTACTTCCCATTCACTAAATTTTTCCTCAGGCATTTTTTTCTGTACACTAGTCATAGCTGTCACCACTTTGTTTCATAATTGTGTTTAGAATGATTCTTTTCTACAGAGATATACTTTGTCTAGGAATATGCATTATTTACTAAAGAAATATGATTTCTCTGTTCTTCAGACATGATGACTTCTTAGTCATTACTGATTTATATAACAGGAATGGAAATATTTCTCTGCTATAAGAAAAACAGGCTGGGCATAGTGGCTCATGCCTGTAATCCCAGCACTTTGGGAGGCCATAGAGGGAAGATCACTTGAACCCAGGAGTTCAAGACCAGCTTAGTACTGAGTAACACAGTGAGAGAAACTGTTTCTACAAAAAAAATTTTTTTTTAATTAGCTGGGCATGGTGGCATGTGCCTGTAATCCTAGAAACACAGGAGGCTGAGGTGGGAAGACTGCTTGAGCCCAGAAGTTCGAGGTTGCAGCAAGTTATAATTGCATCACTGCTCTCCAGCCTGCATGACAGAGCAAAACTGTCTCAAAAAGAAGAAAGAAAAGCAAAGCAATACATGGCAGCCTCCTTGCTCTTCTTCAAACATGGCAGACATGATCCAACCTCAGGTCCTTTCTACCTGCTTTGAATTCCCTTCCTCCAGATTCCCGAGTGGCAAGCTCTATGACTTCCTTTAGGTCTTTACTCAAAATCTACCTTCTCACAGTCAGGCCCTTATTTAAAATTTCAACTCCACTTCCCATGCACAGGGAACTTCATAGGCCTCTTCTCTGCTTCATTGTTTTCACCTCAGCACTTATCACTAACAGACATTTTACTTACTTATCTTATTACTGTCTGTCTCCCTGATACAATGAAAAAGGTAGGAATTTTGGCTGTTTTTTTCACTTCTGTATTCTCAAAACCTAGATTTAATACCTGGCACATTATAGGCACTAAAAAAATATTGGTTGAATGAAGAGTACATTAATGAATGAAGACCAAACATTCCGTCTTTTATTTGTTTTTTATTTTTGAGACAGGATCTTGCTTTAGCAACCAGGCTGGAATGCAGTGGTGCCATCTTAGCTGACTGCAGCCTTGACCTCCTAAGGTCAAGCGACCCTCTTGTCTCAGCCTCCCAAGTAGCTACGACTATATATAGGTGCACACCACCACACCTGGCTAATTTCTGTAAATTTTTGTAGAGATGGGGTCTCACTATGTTGCCCAAGCTGATCTGCTTGCCTTAGCCTCCCAAAGTGTGTGATTTGGGATTCTAGGATTACAGGTGTGAGCCACCGTGCCAGCCACAGTCTCTCTTTTAATAAGAGCAAACATATTTTGTCTTGCTGGATGTGGTCTAGATTTCCTGATTTTTCAAAAGACAGAAGACTGAATTTGTAACATAAAATTTCTCAATATGTAAATATTGGTTCTAACATTTTTTAAAAGGTATGTTTAAAAAAGTCCTTTATACTAGACTGGAGGTTGCCACTTAATGTGCAATATATCCTTTTAAATTAGTCATCTCCAACCTTATGAATCCCGTTATTCATACAAAAATCATTCACTGATAGCAGGTCTTTTGCAGCAACATGGATGGAGGGGAGGCCAGCATTCTAACTGAAAGAACTCAAACAGAAAATCAAATGCTGCATGTTCTCACTTACAAGTGAGAGTTAAATAATGGGTACACATGGATATAAAGAGGGAAATAACAGACTCTGTGGACTCCAAAAGGGGTAGGGTTGGGAGGTGTGAGGGCAGAAAAATTATTTATTAGGTACAATGTTCACTATTCAGGTGATGGGCACACTAGAAGCCAAAACCTCACCATCATCCAATATATTCATGTAACAAACCTGCACGTGTAACCCCCGAATCTACTTCTGAAAATCATATATTATTTTTTACTTACATGACAGAGCCTCTATTGTTATTTCTCCTCCAGAAAGCTAACTGCTTTCTCTGGAGGAGAAATCAATATATATGTAAAACTTAAATACATAGGTAAAGAAAAAATGGCTAGGCAGAGTAACATTTACCTTGCATTTCTCTCTCTTCTACTTCCATAGTACTTACCACTTTTGTCTCTAGAATTGTACAGGGGTGAATTGTATAGGGGTGAACAGTGACCTCAAAATTAAATTTTGTAAAATGACTATAAACTTCTGTAATTTTCTTCTTTTTTTTTTTTTTTTTTGAGATGGAGTTTCACCCTTGTTACCCAGGCTGGAGTGCAATGGCGCGATCTCGGCTCACCGCAACCTCCGCCTCCTGGGTTCAGGCAATTCTCCTGCCTCAGCCTCCTGAGTAGCTGGGATTACAGGCACGCGCCACCATGCCCAGCTAATAACTTCTGTAATTTTCTTTTCAATTATTTCACTGATCACTAAGAGCTGGTAAAACAGACAATGTTGAATTTTAGGATTAAGAGGTATCAGCTGTCTAAGAGCACAGCATATTCTCATTTATCATCTTGTTATAACAAAGCCTTATTTTTCTCATTAGAGAAAAATGCTGGCTAACGGTGTTTTACAGATTTGACTTAGCATATTACTGCTATCTAAATAAGAATGCCAAACCACAGCTTTTTCCTAGCACTTATGTGGCAAGAGAGCTAGTCTTCTCATCTGTCTCTGCCTTTTGTTCTCCATATTCCTACCCCAGCAGTTTAGATCAAGAGAAGCACTTGACAAAGAGTTTGAATTTAAATTATTAATTCTTGACATACTAGGCTAATGTTTAGCTCATTTGATCACATTTGACAGACTGCGGTTGTTTTCCTTTTTCCTTCACTTTTCCACTTATTATTTTTTCTAAGAAATTTTCTCCCCGTCTGCCCTGTAGGTCTGACAAAAGAAACAGAAAGAGGTGGGGGTAAAGGTGAAAGGCAGGTCTCTATCAAACTCATGAACTAATTTTGTGCCTTTTGTTCCTGAGACACCATAATAAGCATACTAAATGGTGAAAAGAAGTCCTTACTCTACCACTAACTTGACGTGTGACCTCAGATATTTCACTTCCTTTCTCTTGGCTGCAGTTCTTCATTTGTGAAATGAGGGTGCTAAATCAGGGCATCCTCCTAATAGCAACATATTACAATTCTAAGAAGTTCAAGGCTTATTTCCCACTCTAAAATGATTTGGAATCTAGCTGTGAAAATAGGTATAAAGACATGAAACGTAAACAAGTAAGAATAATGAAACTTCAACTGTCATTTGCAAGGGAATGAATCTAAACTTTCTACATAGTATGAAGATTTTTAGTATTTCATCAGCTATACTGGGCCTTCTAATGTCCCTCCTTAGTAGAAAATTCCTACTGAATTACCTACAAATGTACATTCTTTAGTCAGCTAAATTTTTAAATTTCATTTTAAGTTCTGGGATACAAGAGCAGGATGTGCGGGTTTCTTACATAGGTAAACGTGTGCCGTGGTGGTTTGCTGCACCTATCAACCCATCACCTAGGTATTAAGCCCCACGTGCATTAGCTACCTTTATCCTGATGCTCTCCCTATCCCCACCCCCCCAGACTGCTACCCTTCCTGTGCCCATGTTCATATTGATATGTTAATTTTTATGAGTGAAAAATACATAACAATATTTATGTTTATAAAAGTTTTATTGTTATATTTGTTTTCAACTCACTTTTATTTGCTGAACAAACTTTGATTATCTAACTAACCCTATGAAAAAAGTCATACTAGGAATTATTATTCTACCTTTTTTCTTTTTGAGACAGAGTCTTGCTCTGTTGCCCAGGCTGGAGTGCAGTGGTGCAATCTCGGCTCACTGCAACCTCTGCCTCCCTGGGTCAAGGGATTCTAGTGTGTCAGCCTCCCAAGTAGCTGAAATAACAGGCACACATTACCACACTTGGATAATTTTCTGTATTTTTAGTAGGAGGTTTCTCTATGCTGTCCAGGCTGGTTTCGAACTCCTGGCCTCAAGTGATCTGCCTGCCTAGGCCTCCCAAAGTGCTGAGATTATAGGTGTGAGCCATCACGCCCAGCCTATTATCCTACTTTGTATATAAGAAAATTGAGGCTTAAGTATGGCAAGTGATTTTCTTAAATATGCATACCTAATGAGTAACTGCAGTTCAAATACAAAATTTCTGAGGTCAAGATCAGGATTTTCCTCTATATTTTGTAGTAACATATTATTGTCATGTATTTTTATAAAACTATAAAAAGAGAAGCATGATGATGAGAATATTCAAAGATACTTTAAACTTTAAAAAATCAATAAACACATTTTTTTTTTTTTAACACAGATTCTTGCTCTGTTGCCCAGGCTGGAGTGCAGTGGCATTATCTCAGCTCACTGCAACCTCTACCTCCCAGGTTCAAGAGGTTCTTCTGCCTCAGCCTCTGGAGTAGCTCAGATTATAGGTGTGTACCACCATGCCTGGCTAATTTTTGTATTTTTAGTAGAAAGGGGTTTCACCATTTTGGCCAGGCTGGTCTTGACCTCCTGACTTCAAGTGATCTGCCCAACTCAGCCTCCCAAAATGCTGGAATTACAGGTATGAGCCACCGCACCCTGCCTAAAACATTCACGTTTTTCTTAGACATTTTCTGTCTTTTGATTTCAGCAGGTAGCCTATGGGTAACTTTTTCAGGGTAAGGGTACAAATTTCTGTGCTTCTTCATAATTCTCACTGTATAAATCTCAAGAAAACATGCCCTTAAATGACAAAGTATGTAATTTTAAAATGAATACAGGAAAGATCATAACAAGCAAAACTGACAGTGCAACAAGAACGATGATAGTATAAATAAATGCTAAGAAAATATGCAAAAAGTCACTGAAAAGCAGACATAAATGGAAGGCTCTTTTTTGTTTTTAAGACAGGTTTTTACTCTGTCACCCAGGCTGGAGTGCAGCGGTACAATCTTGGCTCACTGTAGCCTCTGCCTCCTGGGTTCAAGTGATTCTCCTACCTCAGCCTCCTGAGTAGCTGGGAGTACAGGCACATGGCCACAACACTTGGCTAATTTTTCTATTTTTAGTACAGATAGGGTTTCACTATGTTGGCCAGCCTGGTCTTGAACTCCTGACCTCAAGAGATCTGCCCACTTGGGCCTCACAGAGTGCTGGGATTACAGATATGAGCCACAGTGCCTGGCCAATGTCAGGCAATTTCTGTAATACACTAGCCTAGACCTTCTCTGTCTTTGTCATGTCAATGGTTAAAAGTACTCTTAAAAAAATCTATTCCTGGCTTCTGAAATACACTCTGACAGAAAGTTCTAGCAGGAAATGGACTTGGCAACTAGCTGACTCCGCAGAGAGCTAATCTAGCTAATCTTGAAAGATTTCAACGTACACATTCTTTCTCACTAGTTCTTAAATTTCTTCCCAGCAAAACAACCTGTACTGGGGTCTGAGAATCTCCTATATTGCTCTGAAGGCATTAGAGAGATTATAAAATGATTATTGAACCCAATCTAGAACTGATTTTTTATTATGACCCAGTGTGCATTCTACATTAGAAATAATGTTTAATAAAAGCCATTCTGAATAATTTTTCAGCATTTATAACGGTCATAGATTACCAATGGAGGTAAATACATGCCCTCTAGAACATAACATTTTTTAAAACACATTTTAAATTTTTTAATTGGCATATAATTATACATGTATAAGACCTAACATTCTTTTGTTCAAAATTTGAAAGTCATATGTATTACCAAAACTCATCTTTAGCACTATGGCTTACCTTCAACCTCATCTTACTATCATTACAATATTCTAACAACTTTTCCCTAAAAAAGGCATGAGGAGTATGAAAATAAATGTGACATCAGGTGTTTCTAAATACTCATCAGTAACAGACATTTTCTAAAAAAAAAGGTACATTAATTCAATAGACTACTATGTCACTGTTCAGTACTAATATGGAATGATTTCCAAGATTAAGTACAAAAGAAGGTACAGAAGAGCGTAAGAAGGCAACTGCCAAAATATAATATAAATCCTTGTATGTATGGAAACTACCTCTAGAATGAAACATAAGAAACTAGTAACACTGGCTATATCCAGGGAAGGGACATGGGTAGTTGGAGGACAGAGATGAAAGGAAGCCTTTCACTGTATATTATCTTTGCCTTCTGAATTATGTACCATATCCAAGTATTATTTATTCAAGAAAGAAAAAATAGCCCTCCTTCTTTTGATATTCCCTATGTTGCACAGCCAACTGATAATTTCCTAAGCTCATTACTTCTTTTCTAGCATTATATTATCAATATATAACGATATTTCTTCAAATCAAATCAATACCCACTTAGCAGTAGATGTCTAAGCTGCCTGGCTTCTAAATGATTTTATTTATCATGGCCTTTAAAAAGAACATTCAGCTGAGATTGCCTGCAGATTCCAAAATTGCTATGTGAAAAAGAGTCATATAGCAGATCTCTATAGATCTAAAGGTGCTTTCAAAATTGGCCACAAGAGAAACTTGGTGTTTCAGTTAATACTTTTTCTTGATTAAAAAAAGCCTTATCCTTAAGAACTAAGGTTTTAGGTCATTTTTAAAACTCACATTCCTAAGTGACTATCCAGACACAGTACTTCACTGTGTCAATATTAAGATGCACAAATGTTTTAACTCAATAAATGTTACGTGCATATTCTTCAATGAAAAGAAAAAGAGAATGAAACTGAAACGCATTTACATTCCTACCTTCAAACATTTCTCCTTAGTCAAGAGAGCGACTTGCTTTTCTGAAGCTTGCTTTTCCACGTACCTAGAATTTTTACCATTCCATACACAAAAAGAGAAAATTAAACATTCAACATATTTAAATAGCATATTGGGAAAAATAACTATCTAAATTGGTAGCCACATTTTTTTCATTTCTTCTCAAAAATAAATTCAATATGACATTTATGGTTTAATGGCAATTTTAAACTCCTTAAATTAGCTGCACTTCATAGTCTCAGATGCAAACATTAAGAAAAGCCATAAGCCCCAGAAATAGGAAATAATATTTCTAAAAAGCAACTGTGGAGAACTTAACAGGTTATTAATCCTTTCCCTACTTCAGAAATAAATGGATCTGAGATCTCTTATTTAGTCTCAAACTCTAGTATAAGATGTGTTAAATATGTACTTCTCTTTTTACCTCCTAAAAGATGGAAGACGACGAATATTTTCACACTGATTATTTGACAAGAAATTTATTCTTCTTTTGGCTTCTGGAAGATTACAGCACAGTACACTTAAGGGCTGAGAATAGAAATGCTCTAACAGAGAAAGCTGAAAGAAATGTGAAGATTAAACATATTTATCATATTTTGGCAGTAAACCTATTACCCTATGTCTGCTCGACTTAAGGATTTTTTTTTTAAGAGCCAAAGTATTTATGGCACTAATATATTTAATAATGTCACAATAGCACTGCAAACACCACAACATGGCTATATAACTCTCATATTTTAAGGTTCCGATTTTGTGAAGAGGTAATCTTTGAAATTGGTATCAAAGAAAATGGTAATCTTTGAAATACAAACTAAAAGAAACTAATATAAATGGACAGATTTGCTATCTGCAAACGCAACACACAATAATTATAAATGTGGTGTGGACCAAACTGGTAGATACAAGTATTCTAATAGTAAAATGCTGTGGGCTCTATAATAGAGGGGAAGATGATTTTCCAGATTCTAACAAGTTTGCTTAGAATGCTGTGGGCTCTATAGCAGAAGGGAAGATGATTTTCCAGATTCTAACATTAAGTTTGCTTAGAATCCATATAATGAACATATGGAGTTATAACTCACAATACTATCCAAATGTTCATTATATGGATTCTAAGCAAACAATGTTAGAATCTGGAAAATCATCTTCCCTTCTGCTATAGAGCCCACAGCATTCTACTATTAAAATATGTTTAATTTAATTTAAATTCAATTTAAAAAATATTTAACTCTATACATATTGCTAAGGTACATAATCCTTTCTTCCTTTAAAATACTCTTTAAAAAGTCAAAGATGGGAGGAAACCACTGCCATCTTTTTTGTGAAGGAAAACATATGAGAAATAAATTGTAATCTTCAAAGCACTACACAAAGATGAAGTATCAAACTGAACTTTTGCACCAAAGGTTACTAATATATATGGGTTTTTTAAATTTGAATTTTGTTTGTTTGGTTTTTATAGAGACAGGCCTCTTGCTCCATCACCCAGGCTAGAGTGCAGTAGCACAATTATGGCTTACTGCCGCCTTGACTTCTCAGGCTCATGTGATTCTCCCACCTCACCCTCCTGAGTACCTAGGACTCTGTAAATAAGCCACCACGCCTGGCTTATTTTTTTAATTTTTAGTAGAGATGAGGCCCCACTATGTTGTTCAGGCTGCTCTCAAACTCCTGACCTCAAGTGATCCTCCCACCTTGACTTCCGGAAGTGTTGGGATTATAGGCATGAGCCACTATGCCTGGCATAATATATAGGTTTTAATTAACTAGACTATCATAATGACTATACTTATGTAGCTGCCAGGAAAATAAAATAATACTAACTTTTAAACAACTGGAGAATGGGGATCTTTTTTAGGTTACAGCATATAATGAAGCTAAATTCCTGAATTAGCAATTCATAAAACTAGTGAAAATGCATTCCCAACGTATCAGAATAAATACAAATTACAGACACACATATACATAGACACAGGCATGGTCTAGGAACTAAAAATATTTTTTATATCTTTAAAGGATTATTAAAGAAGAAGAAATAGAAGCAGCAACAGCAGTGACCACATGTGGCATGCAAAGCTAAAAATGGGCCAGGAGCCGTGGCTCATGACTGTAATCCCAGCACTGTGGGAGCCGAGGTGGGCAGATCACCTGAGGTCAGGAGTTTAAGACCACCCTGACCAACATGGTGAAACCCCATCTCTACTAAAAATACAAAAATTAGCCAGAAGTGGTGGCACGCACCTGTAATCCCAGCTACATGGGAGGCTGAGGCAGAAGAATCGCTTGAACCCAGGAGGCAAAGGTTGCAGTGAGCCGAGATTGTGCCACTGCACTCCAGCCTGTATGATAAAGTGAGACTCTATTTCAAAAAAAAAAAGCTAAACGTGTTTAATATCTAGCCCTTTACAGGACCCTATATATAGCATTTCCTTGGCAGAAAAAGTCTATAAGCTTTCA